TTTTTTTTTTTTTTAGACAGACTCTCACTATGTCATCCTCAGTAGAGTGCTGTGTCATCACACCTCACAGCAACCTCCAACTCTTGGGCTTAAGCGATACTCTTACCTTAGCCTCCTGATAGCTGGGACTACAGGTGCCTGCCACAACACCTGGCTATTTTTTTGTTGTAGTTGATTAGCTGGCCTGGGCTGGGTTCGAACCTGCCACCCTTCGTGTATGTGGCTAGCACTGTAACCATTGTGCTACAGGCACTGAGCCCATTTCTGGAAATTTCTTATGGCAGCAGTATTAAAGGAAAAGGAAGAGTAGAGAGAGGGAAGGAGGGAGAGGGGTAGGGTTTCAGTGTGTGACACACCTTTTGGGGGCAAGGCACAATTGTAAGAGGGACTTTACCTAACAAATGCAATCAGTATAACCTGGTTTCTTACACCCTCAATGAATCCCCAACAATTAAAAAAAAAAAAAAAGGAAAACACCTGGACACACACAGAGTCCCACTTGACAACAAGTGTCTTCTCCTTATAGTTTATTTCAACGAAGTTTATAGTAAGTAGAAAAATAAACATTGTATGGGAAGTCAGTTTGAGAATTCACACACATAAATACATGGTGAAGGGTGGCAATAAATTAAGACAAGAAATTGAGGCATAAACAAAATCTGAGAGTCCATAACAGGTGGCAGGTGGGTCCAGGTTCTCATGCACACAGGTGTCCACTGGCAACACATTTCAGGTCCCAGGTGAGGAGGCGGAAGAGATTGAATATGACAGAGGCCTCCAGACAGCCAGGGGACTCCTGAGAGGGAGGAAGGGATGGGTTGGTGGCTGTCCAGTGTCTGGGCTCTCAAGTCCTGCCCACACACCAGTCTCTCTCCTGATCAGTCACTCACCTTCTTTGGGGCCTCCTGGAGTTGGTGCAGCCAGTTCCGAAGGCGACCTCGGAGTCTGGGGCCTGCTGTGGGCTGAACCCGGCCCTGTGGGCAGAGAGTGTTGGTGTAAGGCAAGGTCTGGCCTCAGGATCAGTGTGTCGGTCAGAGCCCACAGACATGGGGGTCCCGGGGCCCGAGCACTCACACAGGCCTGGAGCTGGGACTGGATGTGGCGCAGTGTGTGAAGGGGCTGGTCCAGGATGTCCCTCAGGGCCTCCTTAGTTACAGCCTCCAGGACCTTCAGTGTCAGGGCCAGCTCAGCCTCCAGGGTCACAGGGCGCTCCCACACCTGAGGAAGAAGGAAGACCGGAGAGATTCCATGTGAGAGAGAACAGGTGGAGGGAGAGAGGAACAGGTGAGGATGACAGGTGGGGACAGGTGAAAGGGCGCAGCCAATGTGGTCAGGTGGGAGAGTGGATTGGGGCAGCACATTGAAAGAGAGGAGAGAGGGACAAGCCGGAAGGAGAAAGTGACAGGGCCAACTACAGTCAGAAGACTAGGGTGAGGAGGACAGGGATGGGCCTGACTCTGTCACCTCACCTGCAGCTGCCTCAGGCTCCAGGGCCGGGGGAAGAGGTGGGAGCTGCCTCTGCAGTCCTCTGGCAGGAGAGACTCTTCCTAAGAAGCAAGGGCACAGGTTAGCCCCAGCACCAGGGGTGAAGGTTGGACCTCTCTGGTGGGCCTGGAGCATGGCTAAGACAGGACAGTGGGAGTGCGGGGTCACTGCCAGGAGGATGGTGGAGGCACCTCCCCTGACATGAGTCAGGCTGGCAGCCAGGGCTGGAGTTGGCCACTGCAGGGAGGGTGGAGGGCAGCCCAGGGAGGGAAGTGGGGAGGTCCTGTGTCAGCAGAGTCAGGGCTGACGAAGACCTAGACGTTTGGCCCCAACTGGAAGGGATGGTGAGGAGACTCACAAAGACATCTTTGATCCTCTTGAAGGCCTGTAGCTCCTTTGGGGAGAAGGACTTGAACTGGGCTAGGTGGCAGCCCTTTGCTTCTGGGAGGGCTGTGAGGGGCTTGGCGACAAGAATTGCTCCAGTCCTGGTCAGCACTGTGGCCAAAAGCACCAGCACCAGCACGCAGCCTCCCGCCATGTCTGTGTCAGGGAAGGAAAGGAAGCTGAGGGCTGGAGAGTGTTCAAGGCTGAGGCCAGGAGCTGGAGAGTGCTGACCACCGTGCACAGCGATGTGGGGCTCACCTAGTTTCTTTCCTAGTCTCTGGTCTTCGTCAGCACAGACGTGCCCCACTGTCCTCTCTGAGGTTGTCACCCAGGTTCTCTCCCTCGGTCTCGTTGAGATTCTCTGGCCTCAGTTTCCTCTTCCAGATCACAGCCAGCTGCTCTGTCCTGAGTGTGTCTCTGAGTTTCCAGCTCCGTCTGGGGTACAATTCCTGCTGGAGCTCCATGGTGCAGCTTTTAGCCTGTACAGATGGGCAGTCCCATCTGATGTAGGAAAAGTGAAAACATTGGCCACCAGGGGAGCTCCAGGCTGGGGAAGCCCAGAGCAGGGCGGGGTAGAGTGAGACAGGTGAGCAGCTTCAGGGAAAGAGAAACTGACTCAGGGATTGCTCCCCTGAAGGTGAGTTCCCAAGAGGATTCCTCAGTGCTGGGGCAGTTCCAGCCGGACAAGGAGGGGTGAGAGTACCTTGATGAGGCTGGATGCAGGAGTGGAGAGGCAAGAGGGACAGAGAGACCTGCCTGTCTGCAGGACAACCCAGTGCAGGAGGGGAAGGAAAGGGCACCCCTAGGAGGTGCTGCCCAAAGAACCTGGGGGCTCCCCTAGGGAGATTGTTTACAGGACAGGAGGAGACCTAAGAAGGAGGCTGCTAGGGTGGGGAGAGAGTCAGAATGGCAGGACAACCTAGATTTTTTTTTTTTTTTTTTTTTAGAGACAGAGTCTCACTTTTTCACCCTTGGTAGAGTGCCACGGCATCACAGCTCACAGCAATCTTCAGCTCTTGGGCTTAGGCGATTCTCTTGCCTTAGCCTCCCAAGTAGCTGGGGCTACAGGCGCCTGCCACAACACCTGGCTATTTTTGTTGCAGTTTGGCCAGGGCCAGGTTTGAACCTGTCACCCTTAGTACATGGGGCCGGCGCCCTACTCACTGAGCCACAGGCACCACTCAGATCAAACCGGATTTAAGAGAGACCATCTCTCCCCCCACTTTCCCCACCTGTTATGAAGACAGAAAGCATGAAGGTAGGGCTGAGCCTGTCTTAAAATATTTTTTAGTTTTTTTGGGCAAGGAAAGACCTAGGGAAATGAGGCTCTAGTCAGAAATTGGGATGTGACCCAGATTACCAGATCAGATTGCGACAACTTCATTCATTGTTCAGCAAGTACTTAGCCCTCATTTTGTATCAAGCATAAGCAATTGGAAACAAAAACAAAAGAATGTTTCCTGGAGCTTTTTACATATTTATTTTTATTTTTCTAGAGACAGAGTCTTGCTCTCACCCAGGCTATAGCTCAGTGGCATCGTCAGAGCTCCTCCTTCAACTGATCCTCCAACCTCAGCCTTCCTCATAGCTGGGACTACAGGCTTGTGCCATAATGCCAAGCTATGCTTTTAATTTCCTGTAAATACAGAGTCTCTCTATTTTGCCCAGGCAGGTCTGGAACTCCTGGACTCTAGCAATCCTCCGAGCTGGTATCCCAAAGTGCTGGGATTACAGGCGTGAGCCACCAGTGCCAGCCTCATGGAGCTTAATAGGCAGGAATAACAGACAACATGGGGGAGGGGTAAATGTGCATCATATATTAGGGCCAGTAACAGAAGATAGCAAAGCAGAGGTGAGAACACAGAGTGGGAGAGGGAGTTTGCATCAGATGAGGTGGCCTGAAAAAATTACATTTAAACAAAGAGCTGTTGGAGGCTAGACAAGAAGCCATCTGAAGCCGGAGAGAAGAGCTTTGCAGGCCAAAGTTACAGTCAGTGCAAAACAAGGAGACACCCCTTTTGTTCTGTTGAGCACTTTCGTGTTTAGCCCCATTATGGAGGCTTTGTCTCAATGCACATTGGATACCCAAGATAATAACAAGGGCGCACTGTGGTTTGCCTACTTTTTCAATAAGTAGTGGCTATGGGGGTGCAGAGAGGTTAAGACACTTGCCCAAGGTCACACAACACATAAATAGTGAGGTAGGATTCTAACTGAGTTTTGCTTGACACCAGGAAGGTAACCACTGCACTCTACAGTCTCCTGTATACTTAGATCTCTGGACCCAGAGGTGAGGGACTCTTGGGAGAGAAGGCGCTGAGTCCTTTTTTGGCACCTGACTCCCACCCACAATCGCTCCTTTCCCTCATAATTTCCAGGAGAGCCTGGACTGTTAAATAAAATCCTTGAGCTCTGATACATGAAAATGTTTCAAAACCAAAAGTAGGATGTGCACAAGTCACTTAAAAGTATGTTGGTCCCTTTCTGTGACATGCAGGGCCCTTAGTTCAGGGGGATAGGAGACAGTGAACCAACACTGAATTCTGCATGTGGCACACTGCTTGAAATTCCTAAACTTCATAGCGGTTTTTCACAGAGAGGAAGTTCAGGCAGTGGTGGAGAGCATGGGTTCTGGAACTGAAGGGTCTGGGGTTCAAACCTGGTTCTGACCTTCGCTAGCAGTGTGACCTTGGGAAGGAGGTGTGATGTTAGCAACACAGATTGGTAACTCACAAATCTGGACAAAAACAATAATACAAGTGTGTGGGTTTTGCCTGTGATTATTGAAAGGAGGCTGTTTATTAATGCAAGACTAGGACCTCAGCTGGAAGGTTTATAAACACAGGCAATGAACATTACTTCTTTGCAAGAGAAGTATCATATGCCATTGCATAGGTGAGGAAACAGCCTCAGACAATTACACTCTAATTAAATGGCAGGGGCAGAATTGAAGCTGAGGTCATCTGATTCCCTGTCTCAGCATCTTTTGCTGTGGAGTGCCTCCAAATGATCATATGGAAAACATCCAGTGCAATCAAAATGTTCTTTAATAACTAAAAACCAGGAGCCAGAATAGCAAATATACAAAGGAATTTCACAAATACAAGCAACACACATGTAACAACAGTAACTTTAGAACTGGGGCCTTTCACTACCAAATCGCTTGAGCAGGGAATGGTGCCCTTTCAGGTGAAGGATCCAAGAGTCGCAGATACACAGAATCTCAAACCGGGTTGATGGTTCAAATCAGGGACTGAGGGGCGGAGAGAGGTTGTCTAGGTAGCCACAAAATGAATTGATCCTTGGTGGAGGTGAGCGACTGTTCCAGAATTCAAGTCTCTTCTTGTCAGACTGAAAGGGCTTACAGCAACGCACCCCCTGTAATATCACCGCATTGGGGTAAACTGCTGTCTCTTTTGCAGGAAACATACCCGCACCTTTTGCACCTGGAGCGTGTGGCTCCAAGCACAGCTTTCGCGGCGCCAGAGAGCCGCCGGAGTCTCAGCGCCCATTGGCTGAGAGACTCCTGGTCCAATGGGGCAACAGAGACCCGTGATCAGCAGCCAATGGTGAGAGAGTTTCGCGTCCCGCGGAACGGAGTGGGATCAAAGACCACGCCCAGAGTGAGCCACTGGTCCGAAGTCCCACTGCAGCAGGTGCAGGAGGTTGAAGATGGCGGTGGCTTCCGAGCATCCACTGAGTCCTGGAACTCAGTAAGGAGGAGAAGCGGGACTGAGCCAGAATTTTCGTTACCAAGAAAGATTCCCAGCGGCTTCACACCTCAGTTGCATCCATTCCAACCTCACCCGGTCCTCTTTACTGTCTAACCCCGGTACTGCCTGCGCTACTCACAGCTCCCCGCGTTTTGTTAAGTTTCCTCAGTTTCCGGGGTGACTTCCTTGAGGAATCTTGTCAGATCAGCTCGAGCTGGAGGTGGGACACTAGGTAAATGAAGAAGGCGAAGAACTGAGACTCTTAATCTGCCGGTGGACGTCCCAGCTGCAGACACAATCTCGGATTTGGTGGCTAGCGAAAGGATTGGGAATCGGATCTGGACCGTTTTTTTCGGCTAAGCGGGACAGATTAACAATGCAGTAGGCTTCCTATGAACCTGGGGGCGCAGATCAATCTGGCGGGGTTGAAGGGGAGATGGGAGCAGGCCGTCACTCACTTAGGCCTCCACGTTCGACTCCACAGCCAACAGCAGCTCCAGGGTCTGACCAGTGTCCGGGAAAAGCTCCTGGCTATACAGGCTGCTCAGCTCTTCTTGGGAGTCAGCAACTCCGCGGGCCACGTGACAGAGTGAAGCACAGGACTGACGAGACCAGCAGGAGTTAGAGTGGGGCGGCGCCCCGCCCCGAGGCCAGCGCCTCCAGGTACCCGATCCTGACCTGGAGCTGATGGAGCAGTTGCGCGACTCCAGCTCTTCTTCCTGGGAGACAAAGAGCCAGGATGAGGCTGGGTGTCCTTGCCAGGGCGCCTAATCTCTGAGCGGTCTGAAATTTCTGGACGTAGAATCATATTGGCGCCATAGGGTCATGCGTATTTGTGCACTGAACCAGAGAGCTCTCCAAAAGCATGACCCGGGGTTGAAATGCACCCCGCACTCCACCAGCAAAGCCCTGTGCCGAGACTTGGAGCTGAGTCCTTCCAGCGGAACCTGGGCGCCCTTTTGTGACAGACGTAAACCTTGTGTTAGCTCTTATGACGTGTACAGCTGGGGGGTTCGTGGTCAGAATTCTGGATGAGATAGGACATAACCCCCGGGGCGCCAGGACAGAAGGAGCCCTGGGGACAGGAACGGGCGTGTTGGAACCCAAGAGCCCAGAGGTCCGGGGGAGGGACGGAGCGGGTCAGAACCGCAGCGCCAGAGCCGGCCACCACAGGCGTGACCACGCCCACCGCCCAGGCACCACTGTCCAAGGTGGTGCAGTAAGCTCTGCCTGGGAGTCCTCAACTCTGACCCCACAGCCCTGTGGCCACCCCATCTGTTCTCCTGCAGGAAGCAAAGACATCAGGGAGACCTATGAGGGGGGCCCGGGAACAGCCCCCTGCTCTGACAACCTCGCAGAGTTGGCGCTGCCCGACTCCTCCCGTCAGCCTCTCCCTCCTCTCTCTTCACCTGCAATGAACCCTCTGTGCCTCCTCTGCCCTCCAAGGTCTCTCAGGTCGTGTCCAGAGTAGTGTCCCCCTTGGACAGTGGTGCCTGGATGATCCCTTGCGGCTTTCATGTGCTCGGTTGGGAAACGGTTCTCAGCCAGCTTCCCTGTCAGGCTTGAGCTTCCCGAAAGCGCTGGCCCCAGGCCGCTGGGATCCGAGGCTGTGAAGACTTTGCCTGCTAGTGCACCTGGGCCGGGGGTGGTGGAACTCCCACCCTGTAACTTGAGCAAATCGCCTGTTTTCTAGACATCTTTTTGTCTCTGTCTGCACTCTGGGAAGGAACTGAAAACACTCCTTTTTCTTTTCTTTGAACCTAAAACCTTGTTGGAGATACTCAACCTTACAAGTGCCTGCCCTTGGGAGTTCACACCGCACTTTGCCTGTGCCCTCCCCTTCACCATGCTCTGTCTTACTGCGTTCCTCTCTGCCTGGCCCTGCCTTTGTATCTTCTTTCCTGTCCTGAATCCATCCCTTTGCTCCAATTCTTCTTCATCTGTCCCTGAAGAGCACTTTCTGGGTTTCATATTCTGCTATTTAATATTTATTTCCTTACCAATTAATATATTGTTAGTTCACTGTTGAAAATTGGGATTACATGTTTTTCTCAACTACTGTTGATGACAGATAATTCCAACTAATTCATCACCTCCTGTGCACCAGGCCCCATTCTAAGCTTCTCAAATACCCCCTGTTTTTCCTCCCCAGTTGTCTTGATGGCTGACATGTTATAGATGAAGAGACTGAGGCACAGAGTGACTACGAATGCTGCCTGAGCTCACACAGCTTATAGATATGGTGTGGGGATTTGAGCCCAGGCTGTCTGGGTTATGATGGTGACATTCCAACATCTCTCATCTACATAGATGGATCTGTGCTATGCAGAATAGTTTAGGCATGTTTACAGCAAGGCAGCCAAGCTTCCTACATGAAACCAATTTTAATTCATTGTAATTAAGTTTATTAATAAATATTGATAATTACAGGTAGTGATTGTTTTTCAGAGTTGTGTGTCTTCTTTGCATTACTGAGAAAATAATTTTATAACTTTCCATGCATATTTTTCTTATTCAAAGGTATAGATGTTATAAGAAACATCAAAAGGATTGAAGTGTAAGAAATATTTAAAACCATGAGAAACATTATAAGAGAATCCCAAAAGGGTCCATCAAGCATACTTTTAAATCCTCTATTACATCTCTCCCACCCTTCCTAGCATCTCCTATTTCAGTTGAGGAATCCAAATAGTTTGGGAAGATGGCTTAATGCTCCTCCCCAATTCCTGGAATGGGGTGTGAGACCTGGCTATTGCCATTTACCTCAGTTTATCTTTCTGGCCTTAGTGATTTGGTTTGTGGTGGGTATATGACCTAATCTAGTCCAATCAGAATGAATTTCAGTCCTGACATCTTGAGGGAAAGATACTGTGTCTTCTTCCTCCTGGAAGCCTGGTGAACCGCTAGACCCCTCTTGGAATCACAAGTGTAAAAAGCTTCTCATCAGCGGAAGGGAGATGGAAAAGATTTTTCTGAAACAAGCTGGGAGGTTCATGGTATCCTAAGCCACTTGATCAAACTTTACTCAAAGCCTCACCTCTAACCCTAGATTTTCAGTTTTGTGAGCCCATAACTTTTCTACTGTTAAGTCAGCATGAGTTGGATATTGGTCATTTACCATGAAAAGTGTCCTGATGATATACACCACAGGACTAAAACGAAATCATATATTTCCAAAGACTAAAGAACCAGAAGTAAAGTCAGTAAGGGCAAGAAGAAATGTAGATCACTATGAGATCAAAGGAAAATGCCAGATGCAAATTATTGACAATAACCATACATACCACAGTCCAGATTATTGAGCTTGAGTTATGTACAATAAAAGATAAATTTGTTGCTGCCCAATATAAAGGTTTTTTTGTGACCCACTGTTTGAAATTCCTAATATGTTATAAAAGGACTTCCGGAATTTAAGAAACAGCAACAACAATTTTGAAAGTGATCTAGCAACTGGATCAGTCATTGTTGTTAGGAATGGAAAAATGGTGCAGCTACTCTGAAACACAATTTGGCAGTTTCTTATAAAACTAAACATGTAACTCCTAGTCAGCCCAGAAATTGTATGAGTAGATATTTATCCCAGAGAAATGAAAACTTATGTCCACATAATACATGCAGCATAGTTATTTGCCATATGTATGTTCATAGCTCACAGCAATCTCAAACCCTTGGGCTCAAGAGATCCTCTTGTCTCAGCCTCCCAAGTAGCTGGAACTACAGACACCTGCCACAACACTGGGCTAGTTTTTCGGTTTTTAGTAGAGACAGGATCCCTTCCTTGCTCAGACTGGTCTTGAACTCCTCAGTTCAGACAACCCACTGGGCAACCCTCAGCCTCCCAGAGTGCTAGGATTACAGGCGTGAGCCACTGTGCCTGACTGGCAGCTTTATTTGTAATTGCCAAAACTAGAAGGCCCAGATGTCTTTCAAAGGATGCATGATTAAACAAACTCTGGTGCATATATACCAGGGGTCCTCAAACTTTTTAAACAGGGGGCCAGTTCACTGTCCCTTAGACCACTGGAGGGCCGGACTGTGGGCCCTGGGACAAGTTGGCTGCTAAGCAGAACAGGCAGCGGTGGCAAAAACACCCAGCAGGCCAGATAAATGTTCTCGGTGGGCCACATGTGGCCCGTAGACCGTAGTTTAAGGACGCCTGATACCATGAAATAGGAATGAACTACTACTGATATACACTCAACAACTTGGATGAATATCTGGAGAATTGTGTTGAGTGAAAAAAGCCTATCCCAAAAGGTTACACACTACTGTCTGATCCTACTTACATAATATTTTTGAAATGACAACATTTTGGAAGTGGAGAATAGATTAGTTGTTGCAAAGGGTTAGGGAAAGGTGGTGGGTGGAGAAAGGTGGGTGTGGCCACAAAGAGGACAGGGATTCTTACCTTTTTCTTTCACTATCCAAACTCTTTGTAAATGCTCCTGGTATCAACCCTACCTCAAATTATCTTAAATTGATTGGGCCATCTGTTTCCTGCTGGGCCCTAACTGATACACTATAATTAAAGATGTAGGAGAATACAAATGAGAGATAATGGTAAGACATAAAAAGCAGGCTACCAAACTGTATACAGCATGGTTCCAATTTGGGTGAAATTGCTCATAGAAAAGGGGGGGGGGAGGAACAGTTACAAATTGTTAGAAAAAAATTTACTTTCATCAAGTGGGACTTTACTCTCTAAGTTGTATGTTTTTGTGTTGAAGGTATCTTTACAAGGAGTAAGTGTTACTGTGGTAAGCAGAAAACATATGTGCAAATACATAAAAACCACCATACTTGAATATTGGGAAAAATTGTTGCAGAGGTAGGATGAGGGGTAAGAGCAGGGTGGTGAAGTTAGAAGTGTGGTTTCTTTTTTTCTTTTTTATCTCTTTTATGCTTTTCTGTATTTTCCAAGCTTTATCCAATGAAACATGCATGACTGAATTCATCAGAAGAAAGGTAGATTTTATTTTCAAACTAAAAAAGATTGTGGT